ACCCCGCGCCCACGGTGCCAGCTGCGCCAAGCGCACGTCTGAGCAAAAGCCTCCGGGGCTCCCTAGCGCCTGCGATGCCCGCCCCCTCCTTCGCTTCTCTATTGAATGTGTGAATTTGTACCAAAAGCTCTAATTTAAAAAAAATACATTTGAATCACCAAATTGTTTAATGCTTAAAGGTGCCATTCATTACTTTGAGTTTCAAAGAATTTTTTTAAGAAACACCTAAACTGGAGTTTAACGGAAAACTTGCAACTTTCTTCAGCATCTCCGCCAAAGATCCCACCTCCCGCCGCCCATCGGTACTTCGGCCGACGCGGGAGCAGGAACGGAGCGCGGCCAGAGCCGCGGATAAACGAAAAGTGTCTGCCGGGCGCAGACGGGGAGCGGCGCGGAAAGCAGGTCCCAGGGGTCCCGCGGCCCAACCCTGCGCCCTCGACTCTGCGACACCACAGGGCATCGGACCCGGGGGGAGCATAAGGGAGCAGCCTGGGGGCCGCGCGGGGGAGCCGGGCGCGGAGCCTGCCTGGGCTGCGGAGCCTCGGGGCAGCGCCTCCGGGGCTCCGGCCGCCGGGCTTGCCCAGCCCGCTCTCCAATCCCGGGCCCGACCGAAAGGGGTTAACAGACTACCCCAGGCAGGCCGAGACTCCCGGGGAAGGCCGCCGCCCCCGTCCGCATGCCGGCGGCCCGCAGCCCGCGACCCCGCGGTGCGAGCCCCCGCAGAAGCGAGAAGGCGGGGGCGGCGCCCGGGCGCGCGAGGACGGCCAGCGGGGGAAGGGAGGCGGCGCGCCGGGCGTCGGGGCGGGGCGAGCGAGGGCAGATCGGGGCATCCCGACCAGGCCCCGCCCCCGTCCCGCCCCCGCCGCGGACGGCGGGCCCACGATGACGGACAGGCCTTCGGGCCAGTCACAGCGCGGCTCGGCGCCCCGAGAGGCCACCCCGGCCGAGCGAACTGAGGGGCTCGGGAGAGGGCGGGGGCGGGCGGGGAAGCCTCTCGGCTTGGGGCGGGGTCTTGGGGAGACTGGCAGCGCTCCCAGCCAATGGGAGGCGGGAGCCGTCCCGTTAGCGCCGGATCCCCGCGGGTAGGGCGGGGCGGGCGGCGCGGTGGGGATCCCGGGGCTGGCGAGGGACCTTGACTCGGCTCCGCGCGGCGACATGGACCGGATGGCCAGCTCCATGAAGCAGGTGCCCAACCCGCTGCCCAAGGTGCTGAGCCGGCGCGGGGTTGGCGCGGGGCTGGAGGCGGCGGAGCGCGAGAGCTTCGAGCGGACTCAGGTGAGGACCGGGGACCCCGGGGCATCGCTGGGGCACCCTGAGAGACGCGGTGTCCCAGAGGGGCTTTGAAAGGATTAGAGGTCTTGCAGGCCCAGGAGAGGACGGGGCGAGGGGCCATGAGCAGGGGCATCTGGTGCGCAGAGCTGGGTGATCCCGGGAAGGTCGGGGACCCCGGGGCATCCCAGCTGTCCCGGGTAGAAGGGCAGGAGGGGCAGGGGCGGGCTCCGAGGAGCGGTCAGGATCCGTGCGGCGCTGCTGAGAGGAGCCAGAGCGGGCGGGACCGGGCAGGGGTCACAGGGAAGGCGAGGGGAGGGAACCGAAAAGGGGGCCGAGTGGAAGGGGTGTCCCTAAGCAGGGGGAGCGCGGGGGGTGCCACTTGGAGACGGAAGTGTCGAGGCGGAGATTGGGGGCACTGGGCTGGTAATGTGAAGGATGGGGGACCTTTCTTCCCCGGATCACTTCTTGGTTGCATTCACGACCCCTTCCTCCGCGCCCCGCCCCCACCAGCACCCCGCGGTGCCTATTGCTTGGCTCTCACCGGCCCCAGCTGTGGGCTCTGAGGCCGGGGCCGAAGGGGTCCGAGCGGAGGGAAGGAATGTAGGAAATGCGAAGTGTGGCCGAGCTTGGAAAATGACTCGGGGGCTGGATGGGGTGCCAGTCAGGGGCAGGAATGGGGGTGCTTGGGCTGACCGCCAGCTGCTGGTCAGAATGAGCTGCCCAGGGGTGCCCAGAGCCCTGACTCGGGGTCTTGGTTTCATCCACCAAGATGTGCCTGACAGCTCATAGGCAGACTGCCCTATTTGTCCGGCCTGACCAGGGCTTGGGGCCAAAATTCCTCAGTGTCATCAACAAAAAGCCACAATCCATTTTTACCTCAGAGTTTTTAATGCCTGGTGTATTGATTGGATTGAATAAAGCTGACATGTTTATGGTGCTCATCAGTTCATTTGTATGTAAAATCCATTTCAAAGAGTACAACACTTCTTTTAATCCCAGTGCCAAAGTTGTACGGGTAGATTTGTTCTCCACTCTTGCTCTCAGAGTGGAACCTTTGAAGATCCTGTTGTTGGGCCTGTCCTGCCAGAGGCTGGTCCCCTGCTGTGTTTGTTCTTCAAGTATGTGTCATTGTTTCTTCCCCCAAACCCTGTATACTTTGAGGGAAGGGGCTTTGGGATTTTAGATAGAAAAGTCAGATAGGATCTGACTCAGGGTTCTGTATATGGAATCGTGCAAAGAATAAAACTTTCCACCGCAGATTTCATTCTCTTCTTACTCTGAAAACCTCCAGCCCAGACAGGTGTGTCTGGTTAGTGTGAAGTAGGGAATCTCCTCTCCGTGGGTCATCCTACCCCAGGAGGGAAATGACAGATGCTCGTTCACTTCAGTTTCCCTAATTTTATGGACTGGACCCCTGAAAAGAAGGAAGTTTTCTGTCCGTCTCAGGTGTTACTGCCTCTGCTAGTTGCCTAGTCACATGAGACTTCTTGCTTCATGAAACACTGTGCATATTCTTTTTTTTTTAACGAAAGAAAAAAAATGGGTGTTATCTTATGACAACCCATTCCTTCTAGAGCCTCAGACAAATAAAAACTGGAGCAACAGAAATATGCTTAAGACTTTGACCCATTATAGTGATAGAAATTAGGTTTGTGAAAGTTTCCACCTGTGACTAGCATGTCCTCTAGCTATCCAGGGAGGGCCCAAACAAGGAGAGTCTAGGTCAGTGTTTTCTGGTGTTTTACATTCTATGGGACACTTGTGATTGGCCACATTTGACCAAGTGGGAAGGAGAGGGAGGAGGTAGAGTTGGAAAAGAGAATTTTTCTCTTGTTGAAAGTCTTTAGGGGAGTAGGAGAGTAAAGAAAAAGAAAAGAGAACAAACCCAGCATTAGTTAATCTGCAAAAATTCATTTTGTTTAATGACTATCAAGTGTATTATGAAATATAAAAATGAATTATAAGAAAAATGTTAGTTAAGATCATGAGAATCAGCCAAGGTATAATAATAATTGTAACAAATTATTATGCTTGGCACCATTCTAAGTACTTTATTGTACTTAGAATATTACTTTTTGAAATCTAGACAAGAACTGATGAGGTAGGTATCAGCCACATTTTACTCAGAGGAAATTGAGGCACAGAGAGGTTAAGTAACTTGCCAGAGATCACACAGCTAGAAGTGGTCCCAACCTTTAATCACTGCCTTGTGCTGCCTCCGAGTACTGAGAAGATATATCCCTGGCATTGGAGAAAGAAGATGTTGGAGTTTTACAGCTGGTATGTGTGTGGGCTGTGTGGCCTCAGGAAAGTTGTCTAAGCCTCCGTTCCTTATTGTAAAATAAAGATAATGCTTACCTCAAGGGTTTATTATGGGGATGAAATTAAATAATATGCACGAAGGCATTTTGCAAACTACAGAGCACCATTTCAGTGATGACTGTTATAATCTGACTGGGGAGACAAGACATAAGAAAGCTGAAGTGTGAGCAGTGGTGTAGGCTGTGATTAACTTTTCCTTAGAAGGGCTGAAGTGTCCAGGTAATAGGATAATTACAAGAGTGCATGGGTAAAGTATAGGTTATGGGGGTGGGAAGAGGTGGGGAGCCCTCATGGAGGGCTGAACCACACCTTTCAGCATGAGTTATTACAATGGCACTTGGGCCAGGCGTGGTGGCTCACGCCTGTAATCCTAGCACTCTGGGAGGCCGAGGCGGGAGGATTGTTTGAGCTCAGGAGTTCGAGACCAGCCTGAGCAAGAGTGAGACCCCCGTCTCTACTAAAAATAGAAAGAAATTAGCTGGACAACTAAAAATATATAGAAAAAACTAGCCGGGCATGGTGGCGCATGCCTGTAGTCCCAGCTACTCTGGAGGCTGAGGCAGAAGGATCGCTTGAGCCCAGGAGTTTGAGGTTGCTGTGAGCTAGACTGACGCCATGGCACTCTACTCAGGGCAATAGAGTGAGACTCTGTCTCAAAAAATAAAATAAAATAAAATAAAATGGCACTTGCTGGGTACAGGAGGAGGTGGGGCATTCCATTACTGGAGGGTGGTGGTAACAGAGAACATCCAGGTGGGTGCAGAGGAGACTAATTGGCTGAGGTGGTGACAGGGGCAGAATTGGCCACTCCCTCCTCTGAACTCCCGTAGCCATTTGTGAACCTCTCCTAGCTCCCGTTACCTTGTGCTGTCATTATCTCTATCTGTGTGGCCCTCAGTGAACTATGACCTTCTTGAGCGAAGGACTGTGTCTTGGTGAACAGGCCATAGTTGAGGGTAGAAAATTACTCAGGTCAGCAGGAAAGCCCTGGCCTGGGTGGACAGCTCTGCCCTGGTCCACGGGAGACACCTGTCATTACTTGATGTGTTTTCCTAATGGCCCCAGGTTTCCTCTTGGCCTAACCTTGTCTCCCACACACCTGTCAGAGGATTCCGATTGCTTTGCCTGCCTTCCTGTGTCCCAGCACCTGTACCCTGAAACCAGCCTTGTATCCTCACTCCTTGCAGGAAGCCTTGCCTCCTCAGCTGTTGTGGCACCGTCCTTGCACTTCACTGGGCCACTGTCTCTGCCAGAGCAGGCTCCAGGGACCCTGAGGGCTTAGCCACTGCTGCAGCCCCGTCTCCAGCCAGACCCCAGATGTGTCCCCCACCCAGTGGATTTCAAGCAACCTTCAGGCTTTAGAGAAATGAAAAGTACTTCTTGCCCTCAAAAAACCTGTTGTATTAATGTTACCTTATCTGGAGCACGTTACAGTTTATAAAACATGTCTTTAGCCATCACTGGGGCTGCACGATGGTTAGGTATTATAATCTTCATTTTATGGATGAGGACATCGTGACTCATGGAGCTTGGTCACTTGCCCAGGGTCATCGCATTGGTGAGTGAAAAGTTCAGGATTCAAAGCCAGGTCTCCAGGTTCCAAGTCTCAGACCCATTCTACCACACTGTCCTCACACTGGCCAAGAGGACGATTCTGGAATGAACCAGGAGGGCTGCCAATCACAGACAAGCAAAATACCCTGTCTGTTTTTAGTTAGCCAGAAAACAGTTTTCTCTATGGTTTGTTTATTCTTGCAACATCCATTTAGTGAGCACATACCGTGGAGGAGCACAGAGATGAGTAAGATAAAGAGACCAGTCCCAGAGGAGCTCGTGAATCAGCAGGGAAGTGGACTGGCCACTGCGAGGCTCCCCGACAAGCCTCGCTGCTTCTGTGTGGTCAGAGGCCTGGCAGCACCCGAGCCGAAGGATCACAGGCCCCTGCCCTGGACCTGCCGAGTCAGAGCCTGTGGTAGCCAGAGCCTGGATGGTCTGTGCACACTGAAGTTTGAGCTCTGGCGTAGGTGAATTCTGGGATTAGAGGAAAGGAGGAGCCTGCAGGAACAGACTCTTAGAGGAGAGGCCCAACTCTTAAGAGAGTCACAGTCTCTTTGGGTGGAGCACACCACAGAGTAAAGGATCTTAACAAATCGTGCATTGGGAACAGTCTTGGTTTCTAGAGAGGAAGAGACAGAAACAAATATTTAGTGAGGGCCTGCTGGTTCTAGGAACATGCTAAGCAATTTATATCCCATTTCATAGCTCGGGCTCAGAGAGGCTAAGTGACACAGCAAGGTCACACAGCAAGTAAACAAAGAAGCTAGGACTTCAAAATCAGATCCTAAAGTCCCTTTCTCCATGTTTAAGTTGGGGTGTTTCTACCATCTGGCTCATAATCTTCAGCAGATGCTCAGCCTTTGATTCACCAGCTGGAAAATTTTAGGGTTAGGCCAGGTGCGGTGGCTCACACCTGTAATCCTAGCATTTGGGAAGCTGAGGCAGGAGGATCGCTTGAGACCAAGATTTTGAGACCAGGTTGAGCAAGAGCGACCCTGGCTCTACAAAAAAATAGAAAAATTAGCCGGGCATAATGGTGCACGCCTATAGTCCCAGCTACTAGGGGACCTGAGGCAGGAGGCTCACTGGAGCCCAAGCATTTGAGATTATAGCGAACTATGATAACACCACTGCACTCCAGCTGGGGCAGCAGAGCAAGACCCTGTGTCGAAAAAAAAAAAAAAATCTTAGGGTTGGAGTAGAAGGATCAGTAGTTCTCAACCCTGGCTGCGTGTTAGAATTATCTGCAGAGCTCTTTTTAAACATACTGTTTTCCTGGGCCCTGCTGTGCAAGGACTCTGTAGGGCCCTGGCACCCTGGCTTTGGGGTGGCTCAGGTTATACCCAGAAAACCAAGATGGCCTGGAGCCGCTTCTCGCAGGTGTGAAGAATCTGTATCTTAGGTTTCTTCTTTGTAAATACAAATGCCCAGGACCAGGCTAGGCTGTACCCTGAGCCTTGTACCTGGCACTCCTTCCCCTCCTGCCCGCTGACCAAGTGTCCCAAGTGCACACGTTGCCTGAGGTATGAGCAGGGGCCTTCTTGCAGGGACAGCTGTAAGCGCACCCCGTTTCCCCATTTACTTCACCATCAGGGATTGGCTTCTTATATAAAAGGTTCTGTGCCCTCCTGTGCCCTCTCCTCCCTTAGTGGGCACTGAAAACATAGGAAGGGGGCCAAGAGCTTTCTCTGGGTCCCTGGTTTTCACTTTTCTGGGTTTCCTCCCACGGATGGTCATGACAGTAGCCAGCATTACTGCCCACTCGCTCTGTGCTGGCAGGAAAGGCCTCATACAAGCAGCCTTTTCCACATTTGCAACAAATTGATGAATTAACAATCCCTGTGTCACAGGGGAGGAGAGCGAGGCTTCCAGGGCTTAATCGCTAGCTCATGGATCTGAAGTTGGTAAGGGACAGAGCAGGGACTCAAATCTAGAGAATGGGCCCCTGAGCCTGGCTTTCCAGACAGTTTGCTGTCTGTCTGTCCCTTTGTCACCACATGGTGCCCTCCTGCTCTCTTCCTCTTTCCTCCCCCCAGTCCTTGGGGTTCCCACAGCGCTGTCCTCACCCCACTTCTCTTTCATCTCCTGTCCACTTCCTCTGCCCGCACCTCCGTCCGACGGTTTCTGTTCTCACCTCCCGGCTTCACCCTCCTGACTTCCCAGCCTGTGTGACCACTTCCCACCGGACACCTCCACCTGCCTGGAGGCCCCACGTCTGGGCATCACCCCTCTTCTCTCTGGTGTTAGTTCTGAGTCCTCCCTCCCTCTTTCCCTGACAGCTGCATTCTGTTGACTCCCCTCTGGGAGGTTTCTCTTGTCTGTCTGTCCTTTGCTTCTCGCTGTTCCTGCCCTTATTACCTCCTGCCTGGACTGTTGGCCTCCCATCCGCCCTGCCCTTAAGCAGCCTGTGCCAGAGGGTCCCTAAAGTCCAGCACTGTTTCTGTGACTCCCTTTTTTCAAGAACCTTTGCTGGCTTCCCCGAGACCCTGCACGATGTGGTGCCATCAGGGTCCCTGGTCCCTGTCCTCTTTTAGCCTTAACTTACCCTGTATCCCTCCACTAGATAGCCCCTGCAGTCTGGCTGCAGCCGGCCCATGTATTCAAGTGAGCCGGGCCCTTGGCCACCATGTGTTCTCACCTTCATCCAAGCCCACATCTTGGCTTTCCTTCCCGACTGTAACCTCTCAGGGGCAGGATCTGGGTCTCAGTGCCTGGCGTAGACCCTTGCATGAGGCAGGCACCAGTACCTGTTTGCCCACTGTATGAACATAAAACAGCTGGGTGCTGCGGGCAGGCCCCTACTTGCAGAGCACTTTTCCTTTACATATTTTAGAGATTTCTCCCTCGGTCTCCTTTGATTTCTCCGATGAGTAATTTTTTTTTTTTTTTTTTTTTTTGAGACAAAGTCTTGCTCTGTCACCACTGCTAGAGTGCAGTGCTGTCATTATAGCTCACTGCAACCTCAAAACTCCTGGCCTCCAGCAGTCCTCCCACCTCATCCTCCCAGAGTGCTGGGATTCCAGGTGTGAGCCACCGCACCTGGCCTCCAAGGAGTAACTCTTACCATGTCCTGCGTTGTGTGCCAGGCCTGTGCACCCGCAATGCCATGGAAGCCCCTGCTCCACTCCCTGAGAGTTAGGCTATAGAACCCACTTAGAGCCTCTAGAGCCTAGGAACAGAATTAGGGCTTGAGGTTGACTATTTGAGTTTCCACGAAGTTGAGAACACTTTATAAGCCTTCCTAAAACACGGTCTTGGCCTTCCCAGGACTTCTTTCTGATTAAAGTGAGACCTTTCTGAGCTAGTAGTTATCACCAGAGAGGGAGAGGGACTGGCCTCATGTCTCGGGCGCCTGGCAGTGGCCTGTGTGCAGGTGCTGGAGTTTGCGGCAGGGGATGAGGGATGTTAAGGTGAGTGCAGAGTAACATGAGAGCACTCCCTGGAGAGTGAGAAAATCTGGCTCTGCTACATAATTTCTCGTTTCAAAATGAGGCTGGAAAAGATTTCGGAGGGTCCTTCCAGCTCTCAAATATTTTAGCTTGAAAAATGTCTACAAGCTGGCTTTTGTGCTGTGAAATAAGGACACGTGTTTCTGCTGAGCTCCCAACTGCTCTCTTGAAAAGAGTTTCCAGGGCTCCTATATGTGGACTGGGGACCAGGTACCAGGGTCGAAGGGCTCTTGAAAACCTGGTGGTGCACCTTAGGAAGGGATGGGGGGTGTCCCTGTGGCTCAGAAGAGCAGATTCCCTGGCCTGCTTGGGTGCTGAAAACAGTCCCCATCTGGCACGTCTGCAAAGCACCGATGAGAAGTATTTTTTTTGTCCTCACCATCCCTTGGTTCACTCACTCCACCGCCAGGACCAAGTGTGCAGGAGATCTGGGTGTGGCGATGGTGCGGTGGGCCGGCAGCCAGCCCTCGGCTGCATCTAGGAGGGCCGATGGCCTGGAGAGATGCCCACCTGGGAAAGGGAACTTGTCAGCCCCACCTCCCGACAGGGTGGAGGCTGCTTCCTGTTTTCCTGCCTGGGCAGGCAGGGAGGAGCCCTCTTCCCAGCTTGTGGCCAGGACAGTCTGACACTTGTGAGGGGAGAGGAACTGAGTTTTAAGGTGTCTGCTGGCTGAGACAGAGGAAGAGAAATGGCATATTTTCTTGGACGGGAAAGGTTGCTGATGCTGCCTCTGCGAATACTGCTACGAGACGGCGGAGGAAGCCTGTCTGCACTGTTCAGGAAGCCAGTGTGGCCTATGGCTTCTGCTTAACAACCGTTCACACTGGTTGTAGCTTAAAAACATGTTCACACTGACCTCTTTTAAGCCACAGAACAACTGTGCAATAGGTGATTGTGGTCAGTTTTCAAATACGGACACTGAGGCTCAGAGAGATTAAGTGACTCGCCTGAGAGCACGTAGGAAGTGGCAGAACTGAGGTTCGAACCTGGCATGTCTGTCCTAAATTTTATACTTTCTTTCTACGTCTCCCTTTAAAGCTGAAGCCTGGTCTGGGGCTGGCATCTTAGAAAAGGCACAGAGATTTTTTATTTCCCCCTAAGTCTTTTCCAGTTGACTTACTGGAACACTGAAAATTCCTCCCAGAAGAAAATTTTTGCAACACACATAACCATCAAAGGACCTATATCCAGAATATATAAAAAACTTAAGAGGAAAAAAAACTTTAAACAAAAAGACAACCTAACAGAAAAATAAGCAGGAGGTACTTCACGAAAGAGGATAAACAAATAGCCAATAAACCTGTGAAAAGGTGTGCAACTTCATTAGTAATCAGAAAAATGCAAATTAACATTACA